CAGTCACTTTCGTAAAAGGCCGTAGATCCCTTTAGGGAAGGCTGATAGAAAGATTAACGGTAAAAATTTTTGGCAGTTTATTGGAGTCTTTCCTCAAGCAGACCCAACCTCCCCTTCATTTAAGAGGTTGTGGGTCTTTAAACTCACTCAAATCTGGGAATTGGTTGAGGGACCGTGACTCTCTATTCTGGCGATTCGACTTAGACTGCTCTTCACCTGACCTAGAATTCATCTGTTTGTATAGATCAAATAAATATTTAGTAGATTTCCTATCTGTTTCACTCCTAGGGACACCGTGACTAAGTAGCCAGCGCCATAAGTCCATATGAATCAGACTATTCTGATTACTGCTTTGACTCCACTGTCCATTACTGTAACCACACTCACCTTATCTTTGTCGATTGAGTGTGGCCAGTTGGCCCCTACTACCACAGGGTCCAATCAGCCCCATTGTAGTAAGGTGTCTTACTTCAGTTAGGGCAGTTCCCACTGTTAAATCTGACTTACATAAAATAGCAATCACAGCAGTCTTCAAGGATGCTGGAGCTCCCTTCATAAATTTGTTCCTCACAGTTGTGGTAAAAGATGTGTCCTCTGGGCACTCCATGTGTGGGTCTGTGAGTCTAACCTCATAAATTCACGCTAGCATGCCAACTTTCCTAAGCCTTTGGATACCTTCTTCTACAGTATACCAAGGTAGGTCTGGTACTTCAACTTGATTTAGTGTAGGCCACCTTGTAATCCATGTTTCAGCAACCCAGCCAAATAAACTATTAGATCCTTTCCTAACTTCTCGAGCTGAAACATTGAATGAACAATCTGTGCTTAGTGGACATATATCAATAAACTCAGACTAAGCCATCTTTACATTCCTTGCACCATTATCCAATACCCTTAATAGCCATTCCCACATATATTCCCCAGGTTTGTTTGTACACATTAGAAAAGTCAAGCAGTTTTTTTGGAGTGTAGTATACCTCCTCCTGGATCACACTTTGTACTTTACCTCTGGGACTTAAGTCTAGTTATAGGTCTAGAAGCCAGAATCAGTAGTGTGGAATTGTTTCGAGAACATTCAGCATTGTCTTGTTTACAAGTGATGCCCCAGGCAATAACTCAGGCAATGGCTCTTCAGAGGCAGCTGGGCTAGGGCTGATCTCATTAGATGGGAGTGGAGAGACAAGGTGGTTTAGCAGACAAACATGAAGTAATCTCTTCATATGGAAGTGGTTCTGCTGGCAGGAGTGATTCAGTGGAATTTAGGGGCTCAGTGTCCCCAGCTTCCTGATTATCTGCCCATATGTCCCCATCCCAAGTTTCAGGATCCCATTTCTTCCCAATCAATGCCTTTACTTTAACTTCAGACACCTCTCAAGGTTGGCAATTGAGCTGGCATTGTAATTCAGCTACTCTTACAGTAAGACTCTGGGTTTGGTTTTTGGCAATTTCAGCTCTGTTACCACAAGAAACAAGGCTTTCTTTCAAAGCATAAGTGGAAGCCTTGAGGTCATTTATGTGTCACTTGGGCTTTGACTCTGAAGCCCTGAGCACGTCTCTTTCTTTCACCAGTTTGTCTAGCGCAAGTAGGACCAACCAACCAGCTTCCTTATACTTCTCATTCTGACAAAACTGTGGAACAATATCACTCATGTTCACCCCGAGCTTTGCCTTTCACCAATACCTGATCTACTGGTAGTGATATTTTGTGTATTTGTATCGCCACCTCACACCACGGATTAGCAGTACCGTCTTCACTGATGGAAGCAGACTCATCAACATCTTTAAGACTAATCAGACTTGAGAACCAATTTAGAAAACTCATCCTTAAATTTTGTTTCTCGAGAACCACTCTTGGTACCAAATCTCTTAGGCTGGGTTCTCTAGAGAAGCGAAACCACTAAAGCATATAAATATATATATAGAGAGATTTATATCAAAGAAACAGCTCACGTGATCATACAGGCTGGAACGTCCCAAGTCCACGGGTTAGGATAGAAGCTTCTCCAGATTCACTTAGCCACAGGGGCTGGCAAACCCAAGATTCGCAGGTCAGAAAGCAGGGCTCTTGCTCACAGACTGTGAATATTGACAGATCCCAAGATTGGCAGATCAGCTCAAGTCCCAAGAACAGGAGGTCAGACGAACAGGTGGCAGCCACAGGATCCAGAGCGAGCAAAAAGCCAGAACGTCTGCTTATATTCAGATGCATTCCACACCCACAAGGAAACTCCTTTTGAACTGATTGGCTGCTCACAGCAGATTCAGTCATGGGAGTGATCACATATAAACACTGAGAATCACAGCCCAGCCAAGTTGACACACAATCTTAACCATCACAGCACTCTATACAGAAGAACAAAGGTAAGGATGACAGCACATTTCTTGTTGGAAACAATGCTAATTAGAAGATGATGTTGTTGTTGTTAGGTGCCGTCGAGTTGGTTCTGAATTCATAGCAACCCTATGTACAACAGAACAGAAACAGGTCCTGTACCATCCTCACAAGTGTTTCTGTGTTTGAGCCCACTGTTGCAGCCCCTGTGTCAGTCCATCTGTTTGAGGTTCTTCCTGTTTTTTGCTGACTCTTCACCAAGCATGATATCCTTCTCCAGGGCTTGGTCTCTCCTGATAACATGTCCAGAGAACACAAGATGAAGTCTTGCCATCCTTGCTTCTAAGGAGCATTCTGGCTGTACTTCTTCCAAGACAGATTTGTTCATTCTTCTAGAAGTCCATGGTATGTTCAATATTCTTTGCCAACACCATAATTCAAAGGCATCAGTTCTTCTTTTGTCTTCCTTATTCATTGTCCAGGTTTTGCATGTATATGAGGTGATTGAAAATACCATGGCTTGGGTCAGGTGCACCTTAGTCCTCCAAGTGACATCTTTGATTTTAACACTTTAAAGAGATCTTTTGAAGAAGATTTTCCCAGTGCAGTGCATCATTTGATTCTTGACTGCTGCTTCTATGGGTGTTGATTGTGGATCCAAGTGAAATGAAATCCTTGACAACTACAATATTTTCTCCATTTATCATGATGTTGTTTATTGGTCCAGTTATGAGGATTTTTGTTTTCTTTATGTTGAGGTGTAATGCATACTGAAGGCTTTAGTCTTGGAACTTCATCAGGAAGTACTTCAAGTCCTCTTCACTTTCAGCAAGCAAGGTTGTGTCATCTGCATATCACAGATTGTTAACGAGTCTTCTTCCAATCCTGATACTGCATTCTTCTTCATATAGTCCAGCTTCTCAGACTGTTTGCTCAGCATACAGATGGAATAAGTATGGTGAAAGGATACAGCTTGATGCACACCTTTCCTGACTTTAAACCACACAGTATCCCCTGGATCTGTTCAAACTACTGCATCTTGGTCTGTGGTTCTTGACCATAGACCTTGGTCTACAGGTTCCATATGAGCACAATTAAGTGTTTGGTAATTCCCGTTCTTTGCAATGTTATCCATAATTTGGTATGATCCACACAGTCGAATGCCTTTGCATAGTCAATAAAACACAGGTAACATCTTTCTGGTATTCTCTGCTTTCAGCCAGGATCCATCTAACATCAGCAATAATATCCCTCATTCAACATCCTCTTCTGAATCTGGCTTGAATTTCTGGCTGTTCCCTGTCAACCATTTTTGAACTATCTTCAGCAAAATTTTACTTGTGTATAATATTAATGGTATTGTTTGATAATTTCTGCACTCTGTTGGATCACCTTTCTTTGGAATAGGCACAAATGTGGATCTCTTCCAGTCAGTTGGCCAGGTAGCTGTCTTCCAAATTTCTTGGCATAGATGAGTGAGCATTTCAGCACTGCATCCATTTGTTGAAACATCTCAGTTGGTATTCTGTCAATTCTTGGAGCCTTGTTTTTCTGCCAGTGTCTTCAGTGCAGCTTGGACTTCTTTCCTTCAGTACCATTGGTTCTTGATCATATGCTATCTCCTGAAATGGTTGAATGTCCACCAATTCTTTTTGGTACAGTGACTGTATTCCTTCCATCTTCTTTTGATGCTTCCTGCATCACTCAGTATCTTGCCCATAGAATCTTTCACTATTGCAACTCGAGGCTTGAATTTTTTCCTCAGTTCTTTAGTTTGAGAAATGCCAAATGTGTTCTTCCCTTTTGGTTTTATAACTCCAGGTCTTTGCACATGTCATTATAATACTTTACTTTTAAAGTACTGACAGAAAAAAATGGCAACCCAGAATTTTTACCCAATGAAATATCTTTAAAAAAAAAAGTGAAATACTTTTCAAATGTACAAAATCTTAAAGAATTTATCACCAGCCGGCCTGCACTAAAAGAAACATTAAAGGAAGTCCAGCAACATTTGCTAAATTATGTCTTTTATTGATTTCAAATGTCTTTGTATCTACTCTTGAAAGAAAAATTTTCCTGGTTAGTCTCATAAGTTAATTTTTCCACAATAAATTATCCTGTACTTTGTTCTGAGGATCTTGTAATCAGAATTTTCTAAGCCATAGTATTTGTGTACCTTCTGCAAGAGACCCTATACTGATGCAGACCTAATATTTTGAACCTTTTATCTGAAAATGGATTTATTTAAATTTTGATATGTCTAGAAATTCTATTCATAATATTTTTAGCATAATATATGAATTTCATATTCCTTGTTAATCTAAAATTGATTTAAAAAATAACTACATACTTGTAACCCTCAAAATCACCCATTTATTTGTTTTCCTCTCCTAGAAGCATTTCTCTTATACACATGGTAATTTGGGGGACCTCAGTGGGCCCAAGCAATGTGAAATTTCTTTGACTATCAGATAGCTTGGTTTTGCTTTTATACTGAAGGACCCAGTTCTTTCCTCATTGTTTAGTCAAAGACTCAACAAGATATAGACTTATAAGCAGAATGCTCTTCCAGGGCTCTGTCCGGTCATTGGCACACTTGTCAGCGTACGTAACGGAGAGAAATATTCGGCGGAATGTGACTGTAATGTTTGTGTTTTGTTTTTAAAAGGCATAGTGGAGCTGCAAGAGCAGGTGTTCACAACTTCACTAGAACCTTAGCTTTGGAATGGTCCAGCTCTGGAATAAGAATCAATTGCGTTGCACCTGTAGGTGGATGTGATCATTGCAACCATCGTGTTAAGCCTATTCTGTTGTGACAAACACATTTTCTCAGGGAGACCTAAGAAATGGAGGAGATCCATTAAAGGTTACAGGAATGTGACTTGGAAACAGTTACCCAGCCGGGTCTCTTGGGACATAGGAATAGTCACTAAACGAGGCCTCAGGACCCAGGAACAAACACAAACACAGGACTTTGGTTTCACAGAAGCTAGTATGTAGTTCAGGTGTACTCTTAGGAGCAAGAGTTGTTCATCCAGACCCTGATGTTCTCCCATTAACACAACTCAGTTCCTCTCTGTCTTTGCTTCCATCTCTTGCTGTTACCATCAGCCTCAACATCAGTCAGGGGACAGAAACAACTCTGGTTATTTTAACAGAAAATGTAATACAAGAATGTTAACTAGGTAACTGAAAGAATAAAAAGAGGACACTACAGTTTCACAGATGAGGCATTGGTGCTTCAGTAGTAGAATTCTTGCCTTCCATGCAGGAGACTCGATTCGATTCTGGCGGTGCACCTCTTGTGCAGCCATCACCTGTCTGTCAGGGGAGGCTTGCGTGTTGCTCTGATGCTAAACAGGTTACAGCAGGACTTCCAGACTAAGATGAACTAGGAAGGAAGGCCTGGCAATCTACTTTAAACAATCAGCCAGTGAAAACCCTGGGGACCACAGTGGTCCAGTTTGCAACGGATCATGGGGATGACCCAGGATGGGGTAGCGTTTTGTTCTACGGTGCATGGGGTTGCCGTAAGTCAGGACAGACTCAGTGGTGGCTAACAACAAGGTTTCACAGAGTTAGCAACTGCAGGAAGCAGCTGCAGAACAAAGGGAAGAGGTGGGAATCAGTAAAACCTAAAAGCTTGGGGGAGGGTCCCAAACCAAAAAACCAAACCTGTTGCGATGGAGTCATTCCGACTCCTATCGACTCTATAGGACAGAGTAGAACTGCCCCCTAGGGTTTCCAAGGAGCGGCTGGTGGATTTGAACTACTAGCCTTTTGGTTGGCAGCCAAATGCTTAACCACTGCACCACCCAGGCTCCAGGGAATGGGACCCAGGGAGCTGAAAATCAGACCTCTGAGGAGTGGGGGCCAGCCGGCTAATGACCTTGTCTTGGAGGGAGATGGTGAGACTGGTTCTGCGGGCACTGGAAAAACTGCAGGCAAGCTTCAGCTGCTGCTGCAGAAAAGGGCTGCCACTGCCAGAGTGGGGAAGTGCTGCAGGGTGACGCTTACAGAGCCTCAGACAGGGAGCACGTAGGAAGCAGACACAAAGAAGCATTTTCCCCTTCCTCCTCCAGCCTTGCAGTCTCTCTCAAGCACCCCCATTGGCAAAGCCTTAGAGAACCATTTGACAAAGCAGAAATGTAGTTTGCAGAGTCCCAGCTCCAACATCACAAAGCCAGTGTAGAAGGGGACTAGCCGTTTTGCAAGTCTTTACTAGTCACATGTGGCTCGTAGCCTCTGTTGGCCAGTGCAGTTCTCTGCTATCCACTGAGATGTAAGGTTGGAAAGAAGGCTATGCCTCCAGAGTCTCAGTGTCTCAAAGGGGCATAGCCATGTAAGTAAATACTTATGGCTACAGTCCTATGCACAGGGTCAGGACTGGGGTAAGGCAAGCAAGGAGTGGGCACAAAACTTAAGGAGGCACTCACTCTCGGGTGACTCTGTGCTTGCACAACCCTGAGAGTGAGGACATCCTTAAATGCTGTACCCTAGGCACTTTGTTTGCCTCACCCTAGTCCCAGCCCTGCTTGGGAGCTTGTTAAATTGCAGATTCTGGGCCTCCACCCCAGGGCTTACAATTCAGAAGATTTCAAGCAGGGTCTAGGAATCTAGAGTGTCAATTAGTATCCCTGTTGTTAGTTACCGTTGAGTCATTTCCAACTCATGGTGACCCCATGTATGCAGAGAAGAACTGACCCTTAGGGTTTCCGAGGCTTTGACCTTTCAGAAGCAAATCACCAGGCCTCTCTTTTGAGGTGCTCCTGGGTGGGTTCGAACCTCCAGCCTTTTGGCTAGTAATCAAGTGCTTAACCGTTTGCACCACTAGGGATTCTAAAACAGGAGTTTGGGGATCACCCTTTGAGAAACTTTACGTGTGCCAACAGCCTCCTCAGAGTTCCTTTACATTCAGGGAAATGCTTTCTCTTTCTCTTTGTTTTTGTGAATAGATGTTGGTGAACTCATCAGTTCACTCTCTGTATTTTTAGGTGCGGCAATGGGACTCTGGAGTCCCTCTTGTAGAAAGCTTCTAAGTCTATGTTGCTGGGCTTTGGCCTGACAGGACCATGAACAGAACAATCCAGAATGGCAGTTTATTAATATACAGTCACATTGACTATCACAGAGACCAAAATATAAAAGGCACATACATGCTAGTGATAAAAACTGGGGTTGTGGTAGGCAGTGAAAGGTGCGGAAGGAACTGAATTGTCTGAGATGTGTTCGCTCTTGGCTTCTTCACATTGGGTAACTTACTCAGTGCTAAGTCTCCTTCTTCATATCTTGCTGCCTTTACCCGCCCCGCCCCCAGTCACATAACTGATTTTAATGATGCTCAAATAGAAAAAGGTAGTTGTCTGGGTACCATCCTATTCAGGCCCATGCATACTGTAGGCTTCATGTTGCAATCATGTGCTTTGAGATGTGTTTACTCAGGAATGCAAAGCTGCGAAAACTGGGGAGTATCAGCTTTTACATACGCCCGTGTGTGTTTCTGTTTCCAGATCTCCTCCCTGGTATGCTTTTTGCTGTCTCCTGCAGCTTCCTACATTACCGGACAGGTAGTGAAAGTGGATGGGGGCCATTCTCTGTATATTCAGTCATATACGATACCAGGTGAGCAGGCAAGAAAAGAGTAGTCACCAACTTTATGACTTTTCATGTTCAGGTTTTCAAAATTTGTTAAGTAGTTACTTGAGGGAGAAGGCTTTTTTCTTAACAATATCAAAGTGTGCAAAATGTTTATATTCATCATATGGTTTTTAAAGGAAATGTTCCTGGTTGCAGAAAATGTCTAAGTATCTTTATAAGTTAGCTTTATATATTAAAATTTTGTGTGTGTGTGCACGTAAGTTGGTAGAATTTGAACCCTGAAAAATATTCTCAGTATGAATATCTATGTGTGTTTGTGTGTGTGTGTGTGTGCGCGTGCGCGTGTGTGTGTAGCCATATATGTAATCTTAAATATGTGAATCTGTTCCTGATTGACTGACTTTCAGAGGTGAGGGGCTGTCACTGATTGGTTGGCTAACAAGTGACATATGATTTTCCATTTGCTTAACAGATCATGACAACTGGCCTGAAGGAATAGGGGACCTTTCCGCTGTCAAAAGGTTGAAGGAGTCTTTTAAGGTTAAGCTCTAAGCTAAGAAAACAAGGAGGAGTCCTGTGTCCCCAAGTGCCTTAACACCTTGAGAGTGCACTTCTGTGCTTTATAAGAGTTTATAGTTTGTATCTAAAAATCACTTTCTACTTTTTAAAAATGTTATCAATTATATCGATGCAAAAACTATTCCTGAAATTAATGCATTTTAACCTGTGATGTAAAAAAAAATTTTAGGAATGGAAATTAGCATGGTTTATGATTATACTTTTTATTTCTAAGAAAGGTATTTGAAAAATGAAATCATTTAAATTAACAATAATTACAGTGTCACGAACCCCTAGAACATTTTATTATTTAATTGTAAAGGTAGACAATAAATCTAAATTGCGGCATGATTATGATCACAAGTAGAGTTATATAGTAACTCATTTTCAGTGGCAAATTCTTCTGGATCAATAAAGCTTTATGGTAATTATCAATCTATAGTTTGTTTTGTTCATGATGACAAATTTGTATAAACCTTCTTAATTCAAAAGAAAAAGAAATGTGTATATGATTTTTTTTGTAGTGCTTGATTTATGTCTTCATTTCCTTTCCAAAGGATTCTTTTTTCTTATTGTTGAAATTTTATACAAATGTGTTTAGGGTTTAGGGTTCTGCCTTCAATTGATCCTTTCTGGCAATTACCATTACTTATGAAGTACCATTAGCAGATTACATATACCCATTCTTTGTCTTAATCAATTTAACTTCTTTCAATTGACTTACTCTTCCCTGTTGTGATGTAGATATTTCCCTTTCTTTATCCGTAACACCTACTCATTTCAAAGTATGCAATTTACCAACCATAAAAAAAATCTCTGGTTATGAGATCAGAGTCCCTTTTAATTGTAATATTTAACAACATTTTTTTACATTCACATATCACTTTATATTTTTACACATACTTTCATTGATTATCTCTTTTTGATGAGGACACTGTCTTCCTAAGTAAAGCCCTAACTGACATCCACTCAGTACGAGAAACACTCATGGGTCACTAATTCCAAAATCTCAAGGAAGTATAACTAACATCATTCACCTTAATCCACAGATGTACCTTGTAAAGCCCATTCGCTATATGAACATTGATGATTTGCAAGGGAATGGCTATTTACTTGACAAGAAATTCACTACGATTTCTTTTAAATAGTAAGCCTTCAGGCCATTTAAAATATGACCTCACATTTTTTTCATGAACATAGCTATTGTAGAAAGTGAAACACAGCAGTTTTCCTTAACATGATTTCCAAAAGTTTGGGTTCACATTTCTTTCCAATCCCAAGAAGATTCTACTTTTCCTGTGATTTCCTCAGTCTTGAGATCAGTTTTTCTCAGTGTGTGGTTCTGCCATGGACACTTACATTAGAATTACCTGGGATAGTTGTTAAAAATACCCACTGTATTCCTAAAGAATTAGAATCTCTAGGGCATGGCCTGTGTGCCTACATTTTACACAAAAACCCCTACTAGTTCTTCTACACCCTGAAGTTTGGGAAATAACCTTGGGTGAATATCTAGGAATGTGCTGCCTAGTCACACTGTAGAATTGTTAGACACCAGCTACTCAATAATGTGCCTAATTATGTTTGCAGATGCTTTCATCTCCAAGAAATGCTTACTTAGCATTCCTTCTACTCACATCCCTACATACACATAGCCCACTACCATCCATGCCATTTCCTTTTTCCCCTCCCATCTGTCTGATTCCTACCCATCTTTGAAAGCCTCACTCAAGCCCTACCTTCTCTTTGAATTCTCCATGAAATTGTGAAATAAGTAGACTTTCTTTTTCCTTCATTTTAACTCCACTTTTCAGTTCCGTAGACAGCCTTCCTTTTTATGATTTCCTCCTTACAAGTATCCCTGTCTGGCAGTGGTGTGGTGGTAAATGTTTAACAATTGGCTCTTCAGGGGAAAAAAGTCCTAATGTATAGAGTTTGCCAATTTCTGTGGTGTAAATACTCCCACCATGGCCATTTTCAAACTACTAACAAGCCATCACTGAATGCAGAGATTTGGGAAAAGATGCTCAGATATTACCATTATATAGTATTTCTACCAAACAGATAGAACAGATGTAAATAACCTAAAGAGCACAGGTGATAGTAAAATGTAGTAAAGTAATTAGGAATTAATGAGTTTTTAATATTTATTACCTTTGTTTTAATAAGATTTATGTGGTTGTAAGTTTGTAACATTTAATTTTTAATAATGGCTCTGTTTAACCACTGGGTCTAAAAATTCTTAAAAAATTTTACATTAGCTCTTGCAAGCTGGTATGAGCCAGCTCCAGCACAAACCAGCATCACACACCACTACTGTCTCTGATCTTTCCATCTTGGCCAAACGTTGCCTGTCCTGGATCATCTTCATTTTCACTTACCAGTTCTTGGTGGGCCTGGCTAGTAGGAAGTAAAAAAAAAGAAAAAGAACCCGTTGCTGTTGAATCGATCCTGACTCATAGTGATCCTCTAGGACAGAGTAGAACTGCCGACCTTTTTGGTTAGCAGCCAAGCTCTTGAACTGTAAAGAATACAGGAATAGCAGATACAAAGAGCAACCACCGCTACTAGGGCTGAAATGGAGCGTCCAAAGAAGCACTCCCTGCTCCCGAGGTGTCAGACTTGCTGATGATGATGGTGATGGCTTACTGGATAGCAGAGATGTCACTATGGCACTGCACTGGCAGAACTTGCTGGAAATCCATCCTCTGGCACTTGTCTGAAATCTGACCTCTAGGGTACTGGGGAAAGCTGTTCATGGAGAGGCACCTCACCAGAGGCTTCGCCAACAAAACTATCTGGGGCAGGTGCTGGGGTGGGGGTCGGGGGGTGGGAAGCTGCCGGCTGAAGGCTGCTGCTGGCCATCATGCACTCCAGGAACCTAGTGCTGGAGAACCTGCTTACACTGTAGGCATCAGGAAGCAAAACCTTTTTCTTCCTGCAGTGTCTCTCCACTGCCCTCTACTGGCAAAGCTTTAGTGCCAGCTGACAGAGGAAAAACTATTTAAAGGGCTCAGATCCATTTTCATAGAACTGAGAAACAATACATCTATAAGAAGCACAGTTGTCGACTTGCCAGTTGGTCTCCTGGCAAGTTGGCCTCCTTAAGGGATAGTGCCATACTGGGGGCTCAGCATTGGTCTTGCTGCAGACAGGTTGGACATTCATAAGCAGCAATAACTGCATAGGCCTTGGTAAGTGGGAGTTCAAGCTATTGGGCATGTGTGTAGTTTCCTTCATTCATGTAGCCATCCTACTGGTTCTGGGGCAGCCAGTGATAAAGGCTAGCTAACAGCTCACATCAACTGGCCGAGTCGTCTTGTCTACTTGGTTGTTCAATGCCTCTTCCATGACAGACACTTTCTAAAGGGGGCGTTAAATGTGTGAGACAAAAATGAACACTCTCATATGTTCATCTACATGCTTCTATCCCAGATTTCCTCATTTTCTATCTTCCAGTCTTTTTCTTCCAGGTTCCTGGGCAAACAGCCAGGCCTCTGGCCCCTGCTGGGGAATCAGTTTATGTTCTCACCTCAGGCCACTTTCCTTCTCAATGTGCACACCAAATACACCTCCTGTGGGTCCATCCATTGGAAAGATTTTTTCTCTCCACTTTCTTTTAGGGCCACCCTGAATGTGGCTGTAATGAAGGTTGGACAACTGTGAAAGAGGGAAGGAAACAGGATTGGGTGGGAAGAATCTCAGACTGCAGCACTGTCCAAGAAAGGGTTGACCAGGCTGATGGGAAATCCTCAAGCCAAAGCCACCCATTGGAGCAGCCACACATCTCTTAGGAATATGCCTGAATTGACAGCTTGGCAGTGCTCGGTCATTGGCTGTGAACAGCCTGAGGGAAATCAGGTCCCCAGGTGAATGCAATGGTGGATACAGGGGGGCAGCAGCTGGGGCCGTCATGTTCCCCATAGCAGGAGATCTGAGGGAATATTTTCATGGCTGCCACATGGCTATCGCCTGTAATTAAGATGTCTGCTGTTGGCCCCACTTATTTTTAACACTCTCCATGGAAACCCTGGTGGTGCAGTGGTTAAGAGCTATGGCTGCTAACCAAAAGGTCGGCAGTTCAAATCCACCAGGTGCTCCTTGGGAACCCTAGGGGGCAGTTCTACGTTGTCCTGTAGGGTTGCTATGAGTCGTAATCGACTGGACAGCAGCGGGCTTGGTTTTTTTGGTTTATTCGAGGAAGTAGCTCAAAAAAGTGCCACCTGGTGGTTAATAATGGCACACCAGACTATCTAGGCAGTGCCTTCTCCTTGGGATTCCATGACCTGGCAGCAAAGCTTCAACTTTAGCTTCTTCTCTTAGTGTTTCTTCTGTACTCCTTGTTTGCAGAAGGTTTTCCTTCAGGGAAATACCAGTTTGTTGAAGTAAGATCAACTAACAGTAAGATTATAAACCATCTTTAAGAACCAAACCAAAAATCAAACCCATTGCTGTCTAGTCAATTCTGACTCATAGTGGCCCTATAGGACAGAGTAGAACTGCCTCATCGGCTTTCCAAGGAGCAGCTGGTGGATTCAAACTGCCAACCTTTTGGTTAGGAGCCAAGCTTTTTATCACTGCACCACCAGGGCTCTGTATTTAAGAAAGGTATATTAAATCAAAGGAGCCTTGGTGGTGCAGTGGTTAAAATGCTTGGCTGCTGTGCAAAGGTCAGTGGTTCAAACCTACCAGCCACTCCCTGGGAGAAAGATGTGGCAGTCTGCTTCCATAAAGATTTACAGCCTTGGAAACTCTGTGGGGCAGTTCTACTCTGTCTACAGGGCTGCTATGAGTTGGACTTGATGGCAATGTTTTTTTTGTTTGTTTGTTTGTTTTTTGTTTTTAATATTAAATCAAAGGCTCATGATTATCCAGCCCTAGTTTTAGGATCAAAGGAATGAAACCAAATGGGCAACTCCTGCCTAAAGGCAAGATGAGAAGGCAGGACAGGACAGGAAAACTCGACAAAAGAACGCAGGGAACCCGGGGTGAAAAGGAGGAGAGCGCTGACATATTGTGGGGGTTGCAGCCAATGTCACAAAACAATCTGTGTATAAATTTTTGGATGAGAAATTAATTTGCACTGTAAACTTTCACCTAAAGCAAAAAAAAAAAATAACAGGTACAGGAAAAAAAAGGTGAAAGGAGCCCTTGAGTGTCACAAACAGTTAAGTGTTCAATTACTAGCCAAAAGGTTGGCAGTTTGAACCCTACCTCAGAAGACAGACCTGGCAATCTGCTTTCAAAAACTATGAGCTGGAACTGACTTGCCAACAATTTTCGGATAGCCCAACTCTTCAGTTATCTACAGGGATATTTTGAGATTCTCCGTTTTGTAGACGACATTATTTATGATTTGTATGGTAACCAAGGTGCTTTCATGGTTAATTTCAGCTTTTGACAGGCTGTGGCTAAGCCGA